ACTAGTTTTACACACTTGATTGTGTTTTATAACAATATCAAGTATGCGAATGAGCTCAACCTCATCAAGATCATTTGCCAAATCATGTTTTCCTATGACATCGCTATCCCCCATCATAACGCTCATCTGCATCCAAAAATTCATCATAATATTGTCTTCCCTGGGAAGGCCGATCATGTCCTCATCCAAAATCATAGCTACAACTATTCCATCATCTGCAACCACCACTATGCGTACTCCATGAAGCGTGCAGCTCCTTAAATACAAGAGCGGGGGTATATACCATCTCCGTGTTCAGTGCATAGATGTCCAATCATGTCGCATGCGGCACACCAATCAGGGAAGCACTCATATTTCAATAGAAAATTTGACGATTGCTAACTCTAACCATCCAAACATGGTTTTGAGGGGTTTTCTGACATCAACCCTGACTCTAGCGTGATAACATTTTCTAGATACCTTGCTCAAGGAACTTTCAGCAGTGACAAGTTCATTACCATTGATGCCAAAGATTTCACCATTGAGTTGTAGCCATCACGCGAATCATGAATTTGTATCCAAATTTTAAAAGTATTCAACTCAATCATAGACATCTTTGTGAAGCCGTTGTACGGGGCAAGAAGAATAGGATTTCCCTGGAAAGTCCAAGGACCACCTTCGATCACCTTGTCCAAATCAAACAAGACATGAGAACTGATTCATGAAAAGGTTGTTTACCTGAGATCTTCGCCAGGTGGTGCGCGATTAGGGATGGCAACGGGGACCCATACCCGCCAAACCCGTGGGGATTTCATCTATTAGGGGTGGGGATGGGCGAAAAACATCCCCATGGGGATATTTACCAAACTATTTTATTCCCCATAGGGTACAACGGGGATGGGGACGATATCCTATTCCCCAGACCCAATACCCATTGGGGATCCGGTTAGTAACTGTGATACTGCGGTCAACCTTAAAATATTCACAAACAAACTTGCGAAAACAAAAAAAAGCTCTGAAAAAAATGTTAAACCTATCTCACATCCTCACCTCAGCTGCCACCATGACCAAGCAGTCAATACGACCTAGATAGGCATTAGCAGGACAAGGACAACACCATGTATGTATGTTGATTATAGGGTGTCATATTATGTATATGCGTATTTGTTTATGGGGATGGGGACCCTAATGGGGCCCCGTTCCCCAGTGGGGCATGGGTATGGGAAAATTTCATCCTCAGACATGTAAACGGGGATGGGGATGGGATGATAGGGAATAGATGGGGATGGGGATACTGTAGGTATCCCCATAGGAGATTGTCCCCATTGCCATACCTATGCGCGATAGTGGCGTTGGTGAAGCCAGAAGTGGTCTGAGGGATCCAACACAGAGATCTTCATGGGTGGCTCGGTCTAGCAGGATCATCGAAGAAGAGGGCATCGATGCACAACCAAAGTATGGGGCGGACATGGGGGCGCCCGGGCATGCCCAAGCACGCCTGCCACATCAGACCCGACAGCTCGACCCCACCACAAAATGCACCAAATCCACCCCCAAGACCTGTCGGATCCATTTTCTATCTCCTCTCTTCTTCCTCCTCTGTGATGTCCGTCTTGCAGCTCCGCTGTCGCGCACTGTCCGCAGCTGTTCGTAGCCTCTACACCGCCAGCTCCGGCAGAGCAGTGCTCTCTCCGTCCTCGCCACGGGGGATATCGTCACCGGCCCGGACGCCACCGCGGTACGTCTGGCAACTCTTTGGCTCCGCCTTGCCCGTGATGTGTTCGACACATTGTCTGACCAGATTTTTTTTTGATTTTGTTAGGGAAAACGATGGATTCCGATGCTTCGTCGGACAAGGAGTATGGACCGACGGAGCTTGACCAAATGATTCAAGATGAGTTCTTCGATTCCTCGGATTCGTACGAAGAAGTGGACATGATTATGCTCATGAGCATGCAAGAGGACATGGACTGGGAAGTGGAGCATATTCTCAACTTCAAGGGATCAATCAAAGAGAGAAGAGTGCTCAACAGGGACAGGGTGTCCGGAGCAAAGCTACTGCACATGGACTACTTTGCTCCCAAACCTACTTTCCCGGATGATCCATGGTTTCGTTGCCGTTTTCGCATGCGGAAACCATTGTTTTGCGCACTGTGGAGGAAATGGAGGCACACGACGACTACTTCAAGCTCATAAGGGATTCCTGTAGACAACTCTCTTTCTCTGCCAAGCATAAGTGCACGGCTACTCTGAGGATGCTTGCACTTGGTACTGCTGTAGATGTTGTTGGTGAGATGGTCAGGATGGAGAGAGCACGTGCTTGACTACTGTCAAGTTTGCCCGTGCCGTGATGGAGGTGTTTGGACCTGAGTATCTCAGAGAATGAAATGCACAGGACATGGGGAAGTTGTTGGCTATTCGAGAGGCAAGGGGGTATCCAGGAATGCTCGGATCAATTGATTGCATGCATTGGCAATGGAAGAACTGCCCCAAAGGTGCGGGGAACGTAGCAAGGTCACACCAGAGAGGCCACCATCATACTAGAAGCGGTGTCATCACATGACTTATGGATTTGGCATGCTTTCTTTGAAATGTCGGGTTCTCACAACGCTTCAACAATCTCTGGTGTTCAAAAGGCTTTGCAATGGGGAATCACCGCCCTGCAACTACACCGTCAACGGCCGAGAGTACAACATGGGATACTATCTTGCCGATGGTATCTATCCTCAGTGGGGGCGTTTGTGAAGACCATATCCGAACCGCATGGCAATAAACAGAGACACTTTACAACAATGTAGGAAGCGACTAGGAAGGGTGTTTAGAGGGCATTTGGTGTGCTTCAAGCTCATTGGGGAATTGTGCAGAGCGCTGCAATGATGTGGGAATCAGAAGCTTTGTGGCGGCTGATGACATGTTGTGTTATTCTGCACAATATGATTGTCGATGATGAGGGCGATGGTGTAGTCCAAACCCATAATTTTGAAGCACTTGGAGAACAAATTGAAATCCCGAAAGATCAAGATGCAGCTCAGCTTATAAACTTTCTGCAGATGCATCAGAATCTTCGAGATCACCAGGTGCACACACAGCTGTTCAGTGATCTTGTGGAGCACATGTGGACCCACAATGGCAACCAAGAAGCTAATGCTTCAGTTGTGCACTTAATTTTTTATGTAAACGCTATCTATGCTCCGTACCAATATTTTTTATTTAGTTGCGAAATTGTCTTTTATGATCGACGTGTATGGATTTGAGAGTCCGGATTTGTGATATGTAGATGCCGGGAGGGAAATATAAGGGGTCATCCGGATGCGCCCGCGGGCGTGCCCGGGCGCGTCTGTAGATGTATAGGGGGTCGGATTTGTCAAATCTGACTGTAGATGCTCTAATGACCACTCAAGCCAGGCGCGAGCGTGAACGTATAGAGATTGGATTTGCCAAATCCGGCTGTAGATGCTCTAATGACCACTCAAGCCAGGCGCGAGCGTGAACGTATAGAGATTGGATTTGTCAAATCCGGCTGTAGATGCTCTAATGACCACTCAAGCATAAGGGATTTATCAGGCACTTTAGCTGAAACCAAGAGAACTTGCAGGATTGTTTCGGACGTTGGGACTCTCCCATCAGCGAGTGTAACCGATTCCTTTTTCTACCTTATTTCTAACGATCTGATTGGCTTTCCACTAAAAACAGATCGGGCATGGGGTGCGACCAGAAAGGTGAGAGTGGGAATAAACTACTCCCGGCGTACAGAACCAGATCTGATCACAAGGAAGAGATTCATGCGTCCAAAAAAGGTTAACGCACAGAACGGGAAGTTTTCGATCGGGCGAGCAAGAACATGTGAAGCAACATGCAGCCCATGCACTCCGGCAACTCGCACCAACCCCTCCAACCGGCGAGTGCATCTCAGATCAGATCTGATTCAAGAGAAGCAAACAAATGTACATAGCGTCCAGATTTGGATCTTCTAGGGCCTCCAGCTCACGCGCTGTGCATGCACTCTCAGTCACAGCACAGTAGGGAAGTAGAAGTACAAAAAGTCACTTTGGAACTCAGGTGCATTGGAGCCCTATTTTTTGAACTGTGCCAAAATGCTTTTTTAAAGGTTTAAAAAATTCTGAAAACAAATCAACATGTTTATATGAATATATATTACACATGTGCAAATTTTGATGCTGAAATAAGTAACCATGTGAGTTACACAAAAATGACAAAATCGTGGTTTTGGAAAGATGAACAGTACATGCATCATTCACTATTTGGAAATCACCATTTTGTCATTTTTATATAGGTCGCCTATTTACTTATTTCACCATCAAACTTTACACATGTGTAATATACATCCATATGATCACGTAGAATTTTTTCAGAATTTTTTGAAACATTAAATGTGATTTTCAAAGTATTTAAAATAAGGTCCTCCAATACACCCGGGTTTCAAAAATCCACTCTCAGTAGAAGTAGGAGTAGATCGGATCGTTGCACCGCTGCATGCACATGCAAGGTGGGGCCGGGCGACGCAGGCAAAACAAATATGACTGACCTTCCGCGCAGGCGCGGCTACTAAACTAACAGTGCTTGCTTGACCAAGTGGGCAGTGGCCAGTGCAACCGCCGGAAATGCCTGACACGACGCGGAATAATGCGGGGCACGCACTTGCACCCCTCCACGACGACGTGCGTGCGTGCATCTTCCCGTCCCGTCCCGTGGATCCCGCCGGCCCTGCACATGGAAGCCTCCACGTTTTCTACATGGATGGCTACTTGGCTTCTGTCCTAAGCGAGGACAGAGCAGGCCACCGATCGTTCGGAGTCACAGATCTCGAGTGGATTCCTTCTGGTCTCTGTGCTTCGCCCTTGCCCAAGCCCAACGATCGAGGCCGTCCTAGTACCTCGCCATTCCTCCTCTATATAAGCCCTGCGCCTCACTTGCTCACCTCGTGCACCACTGGCTGGCTGGCTCGAGTCGTAGCTTTTCCTCCCTTCCAGCTCCGGTCGGGTTAGCTCGGACTGGGAGACATGGCGTCGGCGGCCGGTGCTGGTGGGGCAAATGCCGGCCTCGCCGACCCGCTGCTGGCGAGCGCCAAGAAGCCGGTCGGCGCCAAGGGCAAGCACTGGGTGGCCGCCGACAAGGACCAGCGGCGGGCCGCCAAGGAGAGCGGCGGCGAGGACGGCAGGCCGTTGCTGTTCCGGACGTACAAGGTCAAAGGCACCCTCCTGCACCCCTACAGGTAAGCACGCCAAATCCAAGCGCGTACATATTAGCTTTGGAAATGTGCTTTGCTTCTGACATTGATCATTGCTGGTGAAATGACGGTTATGTTTAACTTTGATTTTTTGGAGTTTGACTAACATAAATAAATTGAGAAAACACCTATTTTCGTGCTTTTGGGTTTGTTTTTTGGCTTATATCATGAAACATCATGTAACACCGTTTAATTCAAAGACAAAAGCATGTAAAGGTGCTTTTCCTGACTTATAAATCAAAATTCAAAAGTCAGAAGTTTAACCTAACCAAAAAGATAGGAGTATTATATAGCATTAACTATTGACAATGCACCAGTGTTTTGCCTGTATCCTGTAGGCTTCTTAACTGAATTCTGTTCCACAAGTCGTAAATTTCTTTTGATCATGACATCATGTACGTCGTGCTTACGATTCTGACAAGTATTTTTCATGCTAATGGCATTAGTTCGTTCAAGAAATGTATATTCTAAATATTTTTATGCATGCAGGGCCTTGATCTTCATTCGCTTAATTGCCGTTCTCCTATTCTTCGTATGGCGCATCAAGCACAACAAATCAGATGTCATGTGGTTTTGGACAATGTCAGTTGTCGGGGACGTATGGTTCGGGTTCTCGTGGCTGCTCAACCAACTCCCAAAGTTTAACCCTGTCAAAACCATACCTGATATGGTCGCCCTTAGGCGACAATACGATCTTCCAGATGGGACATCTACACTTCCTGGCATAGATGTCTTTGTCACCACTGCTGATCCAATCGATGAGCCGATACTATACACCATGAATTGTGTTCTCTCTATCCTTGCTTCTGACTATCCTGTTGATAGGTGTGCCTGCTATCTCTCAGATGATAGTGGCGCATTGATCCAATACGAGGCCTTGGTTGAGACTGCAAAGTTTGCTACTTTGTGGGTCCCATTTTGTCGGAAGCATTGCATCGAGCCAAGAGCCCCAGAAAGCTTTTTTGAACTAGAGGCACCGTTGTACACTGGAAGTGCACCAGAGGAGTTCAAGAATGATCATAACAGTGTATATATAGAGTATGATGAGTTCAAAGAGCGCTTAGACTCACTATCTAGTGCTATTTCCAAGCGTTCCGATGCTTACAACAGCATGAAGACCGAGGAAGGAGATGCCAAGGCCACTTGGATGGCAAATGGGACGCAATGGCCAGGATCATGGATTGACACAACGGAAATCCATAGGAAAGGACATCATGCTGGAATTGTTAAGGTATACAACTTCATCCTATTACTTGCTCCCTTATTGGTACAATGTATTTATAATAGGAAATGGACATACTCTCAGTAAGCCAAATTTATTGTCGTGGAGATATGTGACTTATGAATATGTTGTTGATTACCCTCACAGGTTGTGTTGGACCATTCGATCCGTGGGCATAATCTTGGTTCGCAAGCAAGCACCCACAACCTCAACTTCGCCAGCACTGATGTGCACCTCCCGATGCTTGTATATATCTCTCGCGGAAAGAACCCAAGCTATGACCACAACAAGAAAGCCGGTGCCTTGAATGCGCAATTGCGTGCCTCTGCACTACTCTCCAACGCGCAATTCATCATCAACTTCGACTGCGACCACTACATCAACAACTCTCAAGCCCTACGTGCAGCTATGTGCTTCATGCTAGATCAACGACAAGGTGATAGCACTGCTTTCGTTCAATTCCCTCAACGCTTCGACAATGTTGATCCATCAGACCGATATGGCAACCACAACCGTGTCTTCTTTGATGGCACAATGCTCGCCCTCAATGGTCTCCAAGGTCCATCTTACCTTGGCACTGGTTGCATGTTCCGCCGCATAGCCCTTTATGGCATTGACCCACCTGAGTGGAGACATGACAACATCGTGGTTGATGATAAAAGGTTTGGTAGCTCCATACCCTTCCTAGAATCCGTATCAAAAGCCATAAACCAAGAAAGATCTACCATACCTCCACCCATTAGTGAAACATTAGTGGCTGAGATGGAAAGGGTTGTGTCAGCTTCACATGATAAAGCCACTGGGTGGGGCAAGGGTGTTGGGTACATATATGACATAGCCACAGAGGATATAGTGACTGGTTTCCGCATCCATGGTCAAGGTTGGCGTTCCATGTATTGTACAATGGAGCGCGACGCCTTCTGTGGCATTGCACCAATCAACCTAACTGAGCGCCTCCACCAAATTGTGCGCTAGTCAGGTGGATCTTTAGAGATGTTCTTCTCACTAAATAACCCACTCATAGGTGGTCGTCGGATCCAATCCCTTCAGCGTGTCTCCTACCTCAACATGACGGTCTACCCAGTAACATCACTCTTTATCCTTCTCTATGCTCTCAGCCCAGTGATGTGGCTTATCCCTGATGAAGTATACATTCAGAGGCCATTCACCAAATATGTTGTGTTCCTTCTCGTGATCATTCTGATGATCCATGTTATTGGGTGGCTCGAGATAAAATGGGCGGGGGTCACATGGTTGGATTACTGGAGGAATGAACAGTTCTTCATGATCGGGTCGACGAGTGCATACCCAGCAGCCGTGCTTCACATGGTGGTGAATCTCCTTACAAAGAAGGGTATTCACTTCAGAGTTACTTCGAAGCAAACAGCGGCAGACACCAATGACAAGTTTGCCGACTTGTATGACATGCGATGGGTGCCAATGTTAATACCCACAACAGTAGTGCTGATTGCCAATGTTGGTGCAATCGGTGTAGCCATGGGTAAAACGATAGTATACATGGGAGCATGGACAATTGCACAGAAGACACATGCCGCATTGGGTCTGCTCTTCAATGTGTGGATCATGGTGCTGCTCTATCCGTTTGCATTGGCGATCATGGGACGGTGGGCAAAGAGGCCAGTCATCCTGGTGGTCTTGTTGCCGGTTGCCTTTACAATAGTTTGCCTTGTATATGTTGCTGTTCATATCTTACTTCTTACCTATCTTACATTCTAGCCAAGTGATATAGTAGAAACCATTGTATTGTTTAGCTTCTGTAGTAAGCTGGGAGCCAAATATGCTCCGTGTATCCAATAAACCATTGTAATACTTGTACTTTGTACCTTGATATAGAATGGCTATAAATTAGGCCTTGATGGCTAATGTTACAACTTACAAGTGTTAAGGAATTTTTTATCTATTAAAAGGCATCCAGGCGTTCTAGAATGCAATCTTTGAGCTACAAATGCAGAAAACAGGATGATCAATCGTTGACCCACTATGGATGCCAAAATGCATGGTTTACAATTTCACACTAGCTTGTGATCTTAAAAGGAAGATTCTTAATGCAAATTATGAACCACAGATTACCATTTCTTGTTTATTAATCAGACCTTCTTACTGAAACTTCAGAGTTCAGAGAAGCACTATCAAAAAGGAGTACAGACAAAGGATATCTAGTACAGTACTACCATAAATTCAGAACTATTGCAGAGGTCAATAAGAAGATCAGGTGCCTCCAGCGTTTCTACTAACCCACCCTGAATCTTATTGACATTTTACGGAACACTTGAGGAGAGCCTCACCGAACAAGAAAAATTATCTCGCAAGCAGAGCATTAATCATATGTTTTCTTTTGAAATTCGATGGAAATAGGAGCTCACGTGTGGTCTGTGGAGATGACGGAGCCAAAGAATTGGGTTTCGGCAACGAGCTTGCCGGACGCGGACCGGTGATATGGCCGGCCCAATTATGTTTCATGAAGCTCCGGATATATAGCGGGCTGAGTATTTAGAGGACCAGCCGAGCGGCCTGGCGAAGGATGCAAGCGAAATTAAACTGTTGGGCATGGATTTATTTTCATTTTCTTTTTCGCGATGGAAGTCTGGTCGTCGATTATTCAGTATTGAGGAAGAGCCAGAGAAGGATTCAGTAGGAACGAAGGTGAACAATTTTTTTTTTTGAAACCGAAATAAGTGAATAACAAGGTGAGCTGTCGAAAGATACATAAACCAAACTGGAGACACAGAAGGTCCAACACTCCAACTGTCCAGGAATTTTTTAGAAAAACCTATATTCATGCAAAACAAGACCAGTCGATATTCGCGGAAATTGGAATTCAAGAACTTATCTTCTATCAGCCAAAAATTGGACTTCTTGCTGAAAGACGCCATATATTTTCTCAGAGCTACCGACGGAATCATGTAGATACTAGTTGTGGCATGCATCGTGCATGTCAGTTGTTACAGTACGTACTCCACTTTGTTTTCCTGTTTATATCACGACTAGAACTGCAAGGTGTGGCATAAGCAGTCACGAGAAAGGTGGCATCTCTTGTCCGTGCTGTTACAAGTGCACAGCCAGGACGAGATACTGCGTCTCTTTCAGTATTTGTGTAACAGGCAAGCCTCTTGGCCCAGAGGTAGCTTCCTGAAACTATGGTCCCTGCCTGCCTCCACACACCTCCTCAGCTCACTTGGTTGGTGAAGCTCTCAACCTCCTGTCGCTCCTCGTATTAGGTGGCTCCTTCTTTTTTTTTTTTGCATGGAGTACTAGTTGACTTGAAGGACAAGAACCTGATGTCAGTTACACTTGCATTAACGGCTTGGTGATGTAGAACCCAATTAAAGCAGTTCTACTACTGCACAATTAAAATATACCACGGCTTAGAGCAACTTTAATGGGGCGATCCAAACGGAAGGCGATTTCGTCCGTTTTTTGTCCGTTTGGGTCGGCCGCCCGCCCGATAACCGTCCTGTTTTAAATACGGGTCGCCAGTGCGTCCAACATGCTAACCCATATGTGCCGGCATGGCCGCCCTATTTCAACAAATTGCTCATTTTTGCATTGATGAATTTGCATGTAAACATATAGTCAAATAACATAGTTTGAATCAAATAAAATAGCATAGTTTTACAAGCCAAATAAAAATAAAAATGTCTCATATAGTTTTGCAAGTCGAATAAAAGAAGATACATCTATTGGTTGCCAACAGGATCCCACGTATGCTCAACCAAATCATTTTGCAGTTGCACGTGGGTTTTCCAATCACGCATGTCATGATGAACTTGGGTGAACTGTTCAAACGTTGTCGCTCCTTCATGCTCAGGCACACCATTCTCACCCTGAAACTGAAACCCTTGATCGTACAGACGTTCCGGGCGCTCGTCTTCTATGATCATATTGTGCATGATCACACAAGCAGTCATCACCTTCCACAGTTTCTGCATGCTTCAGGTATTAGCAGGATACCGAACGATGCCCCATCGAAATTGCAAAACACCAAAGACAAACTCGACATCCTTCCTAGCACTTTCTTGCTCTTGGGAAAATCTTTTCCTTTTCTCTCCGACAGCGTTGGGGATTGCCTTGACAATAGTGTTTTACTGAGGATAGATACCGTCACCCAGGTAGTATCCTTTGTCGTAGTTGTGGCCGTTGATAGTAAAGTTCACCGGTGGGCTGTTGCCTTCGGCAAGCCTAGCAAACACTGGCGAGCGCTGAAGCACGTTGATATCATTATGTGATCCAGCCATGCCAAAGAAAGAGTGCCAGATACAGAGATCTTGAGACGCCATAGCCTCTAGTATGACAATGCAAGTCCTGACATGGCTCTTATACTTCCCTTGCCAAGCAGAAGGGCAGTTCTTCCACTCCCAGTGCATGCAGTCTATGCTGTCAAGCATCGCTGGGAAGCCCCTGCTGGCATTCATCATCAACAAACGGGTTGTATCTTCAGGAGTCGACTGTCTCAAGTACTCAGGGCCAAACACAGCAATAATAGCCTTGCAGAACTTATACAGGGACTCTAGGCATGTAGACTCGCTCATACGGATATGTACTCATCAATGAGATCACCGGGCACTCTGTATGCAAGCATTCAGATGGCGGCAGTGCATTTCTGATAAGAGGAGAAATCAATCTTGCCAACGGCATCCTCTTTGCACTCGGAATAGTCATCATAGCCGACCACCCCCTCTCTAATACGGTTGAAAAGATGCCTACTCATACGAAAACGGCGGCAAAATTTTTGATGTTTGAACAACATGTTTGTTGTATCAAAGTAGTCCTTCCAAAAAAGCAAATGTCCGCTCTCTCGGTTGCGATTCAACGCCGGAAGGTGGCCCGGAATGGAGCCACGGAACAACGGCCGCTGGCTGTTGAGGTGGTGATGGACCAACACGGCAGCCAATATCTCCTCCTTGTCATCGAACGACGAATCGTCGAAGTCGCAAAGAAAATTGTGAAAAAAGAACTCGTCGGCGGAGTCCATTTTGTACCTTGGGCAAACTGTCGACCAACTTGCGGGCGTCGACGAAGGAGACGGACGGCGAAGGGAGTCACGGCGCGCACGGACCAGCTAGCTGCCCTGTCGGCGTCCGACGAGTGGGCC